AATGATGCACGAGGAAGCATCTTCGCGTCAACCCCTCCAAAACAAAATTCATTCCTTTCACGAGAAAAAGAAATCTGGAGGACTTTATCGCCCCGTGTATTCCAAAAAACGTTGGAGTTTGGCAGGGAAGCTAAATTTCTAGGCAGCATCTTAGATATGAAGCTGACATGGAACCAACACATCCAAAAGATAAAAACCTCCCACCAAATGACCTTATCGTCAAAGCGGAGGTTAGAATCGGGGCATATCGTCTCCAGCTGAACGAAACCTGGAACCAAATGGACATGCTGCTATTACCAAAATAATCACAAACCCGATTTTAACCATGTGCAGCGACTATATGATGCCGAAAAAATCCCTCGATAAATCCTTCGCCATCAAATTGTCCCGGTAGAAAATACCGGGGTAACATCGAAACAGGAAATTGTCTGGTTTACTGACAGCTCCAAAACAGAAACTGGAACCGGCGCTGGAATATATGGACAAACTCCCAGGTGCGACATCAGTCAACCTCTGGGAGAATACGCTACTGTATTCCAAGCAGAAATATATGCCATCGACTTCTGTCTGAGGGGAAACCTAAGGAGGGGATACACAGGTAAAAACATCCTTATCTGCTTAGACAGTCAAGCGTCGATCAAAGCACTCAACAGCTTTGAAATAAAATCCAAACTTGTCTGGGTATGCTTGGAAAACCTCAAAAACCTAAGTATGGCCAACAAGGTAACCCTTAAATGGATGCCAGGGATAAAGGAATTGAAGGAAATGAAAATGCAGATGCACTGGCAAGAGAAGGGTCGGCTACCAGTTATACTGGTCCTGAACCGGCAATTGTCAACAACAAAAATAAACCAATGGGTGTATAGACAACACAAAACCTATTGGCAAACTCTTCCGAAGCGCAAACACAATAGGCTAATGGTACAACAACCATCACCTAAACTTACTGAAGAAATCCTACAATTAAACAGGATGAAAATCAGGATAATAACTGCACTTATAACTGGACACTGTAGGCATCCCCCAAGAAGAACTCATATGCAGAATTTGTGACGAGAAGGATGAAACCGCCACCTACATAAGCTTCGAATTTGAGGCTTTACGCTAGTGGAGATACAGACAGATAGGGCCAGAAGACACTATCTCTAAAAAGTAACACGTTGAAGAGGCTCCTAAACCTGATCAAGGTCACGAAACTTTTTACAGACTAAACAGACGAACAGGACAATACAATAAGCCGACGGCTGTAGTGTTGGGGCCACCTAACCCGACCCTATTATGTCAGGGACATTGGAGCATTTGAAAAAGTGGAGCGATGACGAATTCCCTCAGCTCTTCATAACCTCCTACCATACAAACGAAGGCCGAAGATGCTGAATTTTCCTTCTCTGCATGAGAGACTAACGCGCGGTGATCTAGTAGAGATGTCCAAGAAAATTATTGATCACTACAGTAACAGCACTGACAGCCACCATCTAAAATCTAAGAGGACATAACAAGAAACTTTGTAAGCAGAGATGTGCCAGGCTTTTCCGCTTAATTTTTTTGTTAAATCGGATGGTCTGCAGTTATTGGAATCGCTTCAGATGGAACACTGCTAACTCATCTTTAGTCAACTTGCTCAAAAATAGACAGTGAAATAGCTGAATAGACAAGATAATTTGTACACTATACCTATACGAATGTATGTATTGCCATTTTAACAGTAGTAATAACAGACTCGATGCAATAGTCTCATCGGTTTATTTTTACCGCTCACTATTGTTGACCCATAATAATTTTGATTTGACTTACTTAATAAGAATTAGGGAACGTTGTGTATCAAAATAAATCAAGACAATGGAAATCAGAAATTGCAGTTTTATGAGTATATTTTTTCAATCACATTTAATCGAATCCGTTATTACAGGAGGACATCCCTAGACCCTAAACAGCTATCAAATAAACTAGTAACCTGAACCTCTGCACACTCAATCATTCGCACCCTCTTGGTCCATGTAGGCTTCGGCTTCACCCCAAACCATCCTCCTTCTAAGTAGAAAATTACAAAATGATTCCGCAAGAGACAACTTTTCCCTCGGGGACAGTCGCTTAAGGCAATTTAATAAGGTTTTTTTTGTCACGCGCCTTTGAAGACGTTATTCCTTAACGAGCAGATTAGAGACAAAGTAAGAGCACCTGAGTCACCGTGCAAAAGGTACCTACAATTCGTTTAAATCGTTGCCGGGACTTTTTCCGACGCGACGTCTTATTACGAAACCAAATCCCTGCTAATTTAAAGATGATGAAGGTGTATGGGTACGTAAGACCTCGGAGGATTAGCGGGACAAGAAAATTCATTTTGCGAAATATATTATTTAATCCTAGGAGTTATTTTAAACATGCATACCTTTTTATTATTCATTTGAAAATCTGTTAATCCTCTCCTTACCAACAATAAATGGATATGATGAGTACGACTGAATCAAATTGTATGAATTTTACTGAGCAATCAATTTATAATACACATTTATGGAAACTATGTTACCGACAATGTTGCCACTGTAGTAGCTCTGGGCTTCTATAGGGGCGCCATCAAATTACATAAAAAAAAGTGGCTTTAATCTATCCTATAAACCTCCGACCCCATCATCATAAGTCTAATCACAAAATGTAAACAGAACAGCATGCAGTAGCACACGGAAGGCTTTTATGATATTATAGGGTTGATTGCTCGAATACAGACATCTGTTTGGGGGTGTAATCGTTATAAGCAAATGGGCTCTTAAAAGACCGACAATCAACAGTGACGTAGGAACATTTATAGCATTAAAAAAAAATTTTAGCATAATTATAATTATTTCATTAGAGAACTATGCTCTCCTTCAGGAAAAAGTGGTTGTTCCTAGTAAGTCGACAAAATTCAATAATAATCAAATTATGGTCAGCATAAAGTAAGATACATACAAAGCAGATGAGGAGAGTTTGGAACAAAAAGGAAGAAGTAATAAAGATAATCGTGGTAATACAGATGAATGCATAATAGATTATGACAGAAGAAAAAGCTATAGCTTATAGATCATTTGGTAAAACAAGCATTTCTTTAGAAACAAGGAAATGCGTTGAAGAAGTGTTTACTGCAGGAACACTGCAGTAAGAATATTTATTTGACTAGTTAAGAAGAGAAATTTAATGCTTTTCCGAAAGGAAAGTGAAAGATAATGTTTTCATGATGCTGCCAGCGGGTTTTGGATAAAAATGTCACGAAAATGAAGAATGTTTTCCAAAGTGAAGAGTCTATGGATTAAACGAGGTCGAGAATGGAAGAACTTTCGTCTACAGTTCATATCTATTTGATTTCAACAAAAAGAAAATGATAAAATGTTGATGAATTTGCCAAAGAAAGATTTGGAAATAGCATAGAGGATTTATCCAGATATATTTTCCTTAGTGTGTGAAAATTAGACAAAAAAAGTCAAGTGTAGATTATCACCAGAACAAAATAGAAAGTTCTATCGATATACCTACTGAAGCTCTTTAAAAGAGTGCGTACTAATAAAATTAATATTTTGGTTGTTGGGATAGTTAAAAATTGCACCGACTCTATAGACAAAGATGATCAGGACAATTTGATCAGAATGTTTTTCATTATTGTGATGTACCTAGCTGCAAACAATGATAGAGATTAACCATTTTCCTTCAAATACTTCTAAAGAAAAATAAACAAATTTGTATCAGAGAATATCTGTGATGGGCTATTTTATTTTTTGGAATGAACTTCGATCTACTGTCCAGACTTAAAATATTAGTGTGATACTTTCCAGACAGTATGAAAAATTGAATTGGAGAGCTGTGTAACTAGGCAATCAACAAATTTTTATTTCCTAATACTAGCTAGGTATACCTTTTTATTAACTAATTTTCAGTCACGCCAATGGTTAAAGGGTTTGTAAGACGAAGGCGCCCCCGTAAAAGCCGACTATCGGGCGGGCGTCACACGTCAAACGAAAAAATTAAACAGAATCTGTCAACTTGTAATTCTCTTAAAGCTGGCGACGGTGATCCGTCTGCCACCTTGGTTTGTTGATTAGTTCGTTTTTTTTTTCTTGTTAACCGTTTATGTTGGTTTTCAAGTGGTTATATGATTTATGAAGTCTGCAACCTCAAGGTTCTTGTGTTTACAGATTATGATTTTGAAGACTTTTTTTTAAAAGTGACTATGAACTTATTATCTTTAGTGATATAAGAGCAAATGTTTATTATAGGATAGTTTAATTACCTTTCGGTCTGGGAACTTAACTTGTTTTTTGAGTTTTTCCTCTATGAAATTATGAAACTTTTCCCTTGGTACTCTTTCTTTTTTTAATGAACACAGGAGAACAAAACGCAGCAAATTTGACTAAAAAACAAATCAGATATAAAAATAAATCAGAAACAAAACTAAAACCAATAGAAACAATAAAACAAATGCAAATAGAAAAAACCATAAACACTCCGGTTAAAAAATCAGTAAGAACGAAAAGAACGGACAGATCGAACTTCTTCAGACAGTTTTAAAATTCTTACCAAGGAAGTGAGAAAGGAAATTAGAAAAGATAACCAACTAATAAAAGATACAATAAGTGAAAGCTGCAACATGAAAGTATAAAAAAAAATCTCAAGAGGCAGAACAAGAATAATTAAAATAAAAGTGGATAAAAAAATGCCGAGGAGCAGGTGAACTGTGATTTGAAAACGATTTATGAAATTTCTCAATCGCATGGCTTAATTAAATTCTGCCACAACATCGTTGTCGAACATTATTAGGCAGTCAGCTGATGAACTCTCGGGTCATGACATATTGTTTTGGCTTGTACTTAATAAACAATGTTCTTTTCATTTTATTCCCTTATTTGATGAACCTGATGCAATCCGCTTGGAGCCCAACAATAATACACTATGCAATAATTTGCAGCGATCTTCTGATTTGCTCGAAAGTAGGTACCTTGAGGGTTCGGAAATGTCAGAAACTAGTTATTCACCATTGCATTCTTGTGGTTGGTTGCTCTATGGTTTTGTCGACGAGCTGATTTGAGGAACTGCTATTTTGTTTCCTAGGGACTCCTTGATGTTGCAGATGGTAGTGGCTCTGATGTCTAAGGTTTTGATGATTTCCTTTTTGGTTGACCATGAATGTTTGGAGTCATGGTGTGAGCTTTGTCCCGTGTGGGTGGGTTTTCTACACTGAAGCTTCGATGTGTTCTTCAAAGTGTTCAACTAGGACGTCAGGGCCCGAATCTGTGCTTTTTCCATGGTGAATTTATGGACTGTCTTATTTTGTTGATATTGTTCTTCAACGGAGTAGGAAGTGTTGTGCGCTTAGGGCAAAAAATCAAAGTCCCTTTTAAATTCCGAAAATTGCCGACGGCTCTTGAAAAAGACTTTAAATAAAATCGAAACGTTAGCCTTTTTTGAAATTTGAAAGGGACTTTGAATTTTTTCGGCATTTTTTGAAATTAAAAAGGGACTGCATTTTTTTGCCCCAAGCCCACAACACTTCCTACTTCATTCAACTGTTGAGGGTGCAAACCTTCTACAATTGTTCTTTAACTAATCACTGCTCCTTATTGTCTAAATTAGGCAGCCAAATTTTGTGTTAATTTGTTTATGGAAGGTCGTCATCATGTGCAAAATACCTATTTATATTTTATCTGAAAGTCGGAATTTCGTAGATACTGGCAGGCAACTTGTGTTTGGTCTGCGGCTATAGCAGTGGGTAATTGCTCTATGATTTTCAGCAATTCTTCAGCACATCTTCGGGAATAGTTATTTTGTTTTCGAGGACGGTAACGAAATGTTGAGAATAAGGTTTGGCCTTGTGAGGGATTGATGATGGGTGAAAAGAATTTTGATAAATGCTGGCTTGTTGCTGAGTCTTTGGACCTTGATTTTGGCCCAAGTGGCAAATTATTTTTTTTTTATATATTCTGCAACGCATTTAGGTGTGGATAAAACGCCCCAGTGATGATTGAGTCTGGTTGTAGTAGCATCCGAAAGAAAGTTCTTGTATTTCTTGAGAGTATGATACACTTTTCTCTAAACAGTAGACGTTCGATCTTCAGTTTCCTTCCTGCAGGACTTCGACGATGGTCGGTCTTGTCATAATCCATGGTGCTTTGCATTGCCATTATCTGCAGAAATTATCTTGATTGTGCTATGTTCATGCATGCAAGGCTGGATGACAAAGGTGTCAAATGTCAGTTACAGATTTTGAATGAAGAAACTTGTCTGCAATTTTTGTGTTGTTGATTGCTAAGTTCAGGTCACCTAAATATACAGCATATTTTGTCGATGTTAGACTTTTGGTCTGTTCTTGGATGAAACGAGACAGATTTGTATGCGGGTTGGCATCATCATCGTCTCAGAAACAATTTTTAACAGAGAGAAACTCAACATTCAAGAGAGCTAGTCAATGGGCTTTGAGCTTCGAATTAGTGGAAGCACAGTCAAAATTTTTCCAACCTATTTATAATACGGACAATTTAGGTGCAGTACATGGGAAGGGTTCTTCAAATAAAACCAATTAGGTCTATTCCACCTTCAAGATCCCAAAATTTGAAATGTTTCCGCTGTGGGAGAGTGCATGACCCAACAGTGGATTGGAATTGCTTTTCGTGTGGTAAGAAAGGCCATGTTTCATCGATGTGCAAGGCAAAAAAAATTGAATAGCTTGGGTGAGGCAGAAGGCAGTGTTTCCGAAGAAACACAGGAGATGCCTTATGAAGTCGATGAAGAAGATGATTTGTATTGGCTCATTTGGTAGCCTTAAGCCAATCTAATGGAGCGGAGAAAGTTGGAATTCTGATCAATGGGAAATTGATTGAAATGGAGATTGTCTCAGGTGCTTCAAGGACAGTGATTTCAAATTGTTTACATGAAAAATTATTTTTGGCTTTTCCTCTTAGGGCAGTAGCATGTAAGTTGAGAGTTGTTACTGGTCAATTATTGTCAGTAGTTGGAGAGATGCTTGCTGATATTTTCCATAAAAGTCATACATTTAAATCTCCTTTGCTAGTTATAAATGCTGAGAAAAGTTTTAACCACCTTCTGGAACGTGATTGCCTAGATATGTTAAATTCTCATGGAGGAAGAACATTTTTATAAACAATGTGTCCGATAGGTCTGTATTTGGTGATACAAGCAAATTAATTTCATATTTTACATCAAGGTTTCCTGCATTATTTTCGGGTTATACAAATGAGCCTCTAAGAAATTTTGAAGTACCTTTTAGATTGAAAGAGAATTCTTGTCCAATTTTCCGAAAACCTTACAACGTACCCTATGCTTTGCATGATAAACTGAAAATTAAACTTGATGAATTGGTCAGTGAGGGTATTTTGGTTTCTGTTAGCACTAGTAATTGGCAAGCTCCATTGTTATTGTCCAAAAAAAAAATGGGGATATCAGGGTATGTGTGGATTTCAAGGTGACTTTAAATCGGGTATTTTGTCTGGATATGTATCCTCTCCCCAATATAAACGATTCTCTGTCAAAATTGAACGGTGGTAAGGTGTTTTCTACTCTGGATTTATTAGGTGCTTATCAACAATTGCCCCACATCTCAGGAACTATTAACACTAGTTTCGGTCTATTCAGATACACTCAGTGACTTAGGGCATCACTAACGCTCCCGCTATTTTTCAGATGACCATGGACAAAATATTGAACAGGTTAATTAATGTCATATGCTATCTGGATGATATTCTGATTATGGGCAAGGATTTTGCTGAATGTTATGAACATTTGTGAAGTGTTACAACGGTTGTCGGAACTTAATCTGAAGTAATATTAACCTTCTGAAATGTAAATTTTTCGTGAGTTCTGTGGAATAACTGGGTCATAAGATAGATGCAGAAGGTATTCATCCCACATCTGAGAAGGTTGAAGCGGTTGTGATTGCCCCTGTCCCTAAAAATCTGACTCAGTTAAGAGCATTTTTGGGGTTACTAAATTTCTATAAAAAGTTGGTAAAAGGAATATAACTTTTATCAGGTAACCAAGTAGGTACCTACTCGTTCATTTCGACCCGGAGAAGCCACTTGAGTTGGTTTGCGATTCTAGTTCGAACGGAGTTAGTGCAGTGTTGTGCCATCTTGAAGATAGGTTTGATAGACCAATATGGTTTATGTCTAGTACTCTATCAGAAGCAGAGAAAAACTACTACCAACTAGAATGAGAGGCATTGGCAATAGTGTTTGGATTTAAGCGGATTCACAAGTTTTTATATGGTCGAGAATTTATTTTGGAATCAGATCATCAGTTTCTACAAATTATTTTCAATCTATCAAAGTCATTGCCAACAATTGCAACATCTAGAATAACAAGATGGGCGGTATTTCTATCAGCATACAATTATAGAATAGTGTATAAGAAGGGTTTACAGATTGGCCATGCTGATGGCCTCTGAAGATTCCTGTTGCAGTCTCCGACACAGGTACCTTGTATTAATTCATTCAATTTATTAGAAAGTGTACCGATTTCTTCTTATGATATTGCTTTCCAGACCAAAAGGGAAATAATTTTATCTAGAACCGAATTTTCATGACAAATGTAGTTCATCGCGTTCATCAATAGTTCATTCAAGGACGAACCATAGTTCATCTTCTGACGTCATGAGTTTGAGCGCTGGCTTGAAGCTGCGTCCATGCTTCCGGCGAACTACGTATGACGTCATGAGTTGTTACGATAAATTTATCATTTATGTAACATGTTCCATCTCTTCTCATTTTCATTACAAAGTTGTATTTTTGCCATTTCAGAATTAGCGAAATAATGATTCATAATCTAAGTAATCTAAAAATATCCACAAAGTTCGATATAATACCAGTACTGCCATCTATCCATCATGTGCATAAAATGCAAATATCTATTATTGAATGAAGGTACTGCCATCTAGTACCTGATGGATTTATTTTTCAAAGTATGAGTTTAATTATTTCGCATTTGACAGTTATATGTATTTTCATTGAAAGAAATTATGTTTATCTCACTTTTAGTAAATGGATATATTTCTGTCTTTCTCTAACTTCTGATTCTGAAATAATCATTTTTAGCCTAAATTAAAATAATTCTAGTGGATTTTTATCTATTCTCTTTTATTCCACGTGGTTTTTCATTGTAAAGTGAATATGGTCTTTTGGGTGAAGTCTTCTGATTGGTTGATCTGGTTAAAACGCAGTTTAGTATAAAAAACACAGGATTGTTTTCCTATAGGGTTTGGTTTCTAAAACGTTCTCTTTTCCTGGCAGTATAGTCTTGCAGGCGAGTCATTTTTATTTTTATAATCTTTCCTTTGAATTTTCAGATTCTCCCTTATAAATTTTTCTATAAAGTTTACTGTTCCGGCACCTGTGCCAATTTGCATTATTTTTACAATAGATGGCGCCGCCCGTTCTATATTCATAATTTTTAAATATGTCAATCGACCCTCTCTATCACCAGACAAGATTCGGGGGCTTTTTTGTGAGGTTAATTATTAATTCTAGAATTATTGTCGAATAAGTGAAAAAACTTGCTTTCGTGTCGTGAAAATAGTATTTTTTGAGTTCTTGCGAATTATTTAAGTTGTTACACACGTGTGTGTGTAATACCCTTTACCTACTGTATCGGAAGTAAAAAATAAATTAACAAAAGTGAAATCAGTGTATTTGAATGGAATAGAAATGGAAATACGAGCAGTGGAGTAAACGTTTGCAGATGTACGCATCATTTACCATCAGTGCATATTATCATATCATTGTTAAGTTTTTACCTGATAAATCTTATTTTATCTATTCTTGAAATAGAAATATTATATTTTAATTTTTTATCTAATTGCGGGCCTCTATTTTGTGTGATTGGTGGCTCCACGTTTTTTGAGGTAAGTCAATTCAGATTTTTGAGCTAATAGACAGGTACTGCTGCTCTGTGGGCCGATTCTCGGGCCAGGGAGTAGCCCTGGTTTTCAGAATCAATTGTTACTGTGGGAATATTGGACCGACTGCTCTAAATAGAGACGGTGAAAACCAAATTTGTGTGTCCATCCCATCAGCTCTTTATTGAATCCAGGCAGAGGCCTATATAGCTATTTTCTGTTTGACTCCATCAATTATTATCTCAATTATCATCTTCTCGAAGAGAAGAGTGTTGGAA